TGATTTTTGTTCCAGTAACACACACACGCAGATGCCACATACATGTGGGTTTAGATTTTGGTAAAGCAAAATATCTATTCATGTCTTCGCTGTACTACAGAAAAAACCAGTGTATCATCCTCTATACAATAGGGACAATAGGTTCCTCTTTTCTACAGTCTGAGTAATTTGCATCCTCACCAACAGGGCAATTGTTGGTTCCAGAAGAACATGCGGCTAGTTGCAGAACTAATGCCTGTCAGAAGAACGCAGACTTAGGTAGACTTGGCAGTGGGACAAAGGAAAAGACTTTATAAGGCTGAGTCAACAGAATAATTCTTGTGGCCTCAATATAGGTGATGGTAGGAGCAGAGCGTTCCCTAAGAGAGGTATGCAAATGCAAAAGCAGAAAGCAACCGGAACTTTATCTCATTTTGGGTGCTTTTCTGTAAAATGTCTGATGTGGAAGGTGGGTCAAAACACTACACAACAATCAACATTATATTAGGGTATTTGCAAAGTCTACGATATGAGACATGTCTACTTAGTTTAAAAAACAGAGATGATTTTAAAAACTGGAGGTGATTTTTTTTTCTGTTTTGCACTCAAAGGATAAATTAACATTCTGAAAACTGTTTTGTGGAGGACTCACAATTATGTAAGGTTTTAGAATGCTAAGTTTTGTAAAGTGGATATAATACGGATATGAGTTGGTTTGAAATACAGTCGCCTTGCGGACCTAGCTGCCTGTTATGTTTTCATGTGCTTGATTAGAATGACTGCCTGACTTGGGCCATCTGGGAATTCTGCCTCACTGTTGTATATTGATTGGATTTTAAAGGGATTTTTCACCTGGGGAATTGATCAGAAAATTATCTGTTTAGTTCCGTATGAATATGTATTCCACTTTGCCATCATATGCAGCAGTCATGAGGTCAGAAACACAGGCCATTTCTTCCTTTTCAGGACTTTCCTAAATCTGTTATTTACAGTACAGAACCATTTTGTTACATTTTTGTGTGCTGGTTTTGACTGGGATAGTTCATTCTCTTCACAATAGCTAGAATGAAGCTCTGTTTTGGATTTGTGCTGAGAAGAATGTTGATTACGCTGGTGTTTTGGTTGTTCCCAAGCAATATTTACACTAAGCCAAGGACTTCTTCAGTTTCTCATACTGCACCTGTGTGCCCAGCTTATTCTCTACCAGCTGACCCAAACTGACCAAAGGGATTTCGTGCCGTAAGACGTCATGCCCCGTATATGAGGTGGGGAGGAAGTGACCAGAAGGGGAATCGCTGCTCAAGGACTGGCAGGGTATCGGTTGGTGGGTGGGGAGTGATTGTATGACTTTGGGTATTTTGTTGTTGTTTTCCTTTTCATTACATATCATCATCATCATTTTATTTCAATTGATAAACTGGTTTTATCTCAACCCATGAGTTTTCTTAACTTTTTTCCTCTGATCCTCTCCCCATCCCCCTGGAGGAGGGGGGAGGTGAGTGAGCGGGTGTGTGGTGCTTAGTTGCTGGCTGGGGTTAAACCATGACAGTTTGCTATACCTTTTCATTTATCCTGTCTTTAACCTTGGCCTTATAAAAAATGAATGGAAGTCCCTGTCCCTAGGAGCCTACACATTTAGTGTAGATTCAGACAAAATCAGATACTTCTACATCTCATAAAAACCATCTCTTAACTGCATCACTATTACAGACTAATACAGCGGGAGATGTTAAACATTTCTAATGATGCCACACGTATTAAAATACGTCATCTGCATCCCCTTGTGATTTTAATGTCATAGCAGAAAAAATGAATGCAGTGATGGCCTAGGTACCAGAAAGTCACTCAGTAGCACAGTTCTGCCAGCTTTCTTACGTACTTGTGATCGCTAGCTACACCCCTCTGCAGCTGGAATAAGCGTTAAACATCAAAAAAGAATGTGTGGGTGCTGAGAATCAGTAAGGCCTCAATGTTTACAAATAAACATAATTCCTGAACACGTATCAAGATCTGAAAATATGGATCTGTCTACTGATTCCATGTCTTCTTGTAATTTATTCTTTTAATTTTTAACCTTTTTTTCTTTCATTTTCTCTGAGGTGTTTGTAGGAGAGGAAACGAAGTACCAGTGGTATTTCCTTCAGTAGAAATAGAATTAATGATGTCTGTTTAGGTAAATCCCTTCCTATTTTGCCCTACGGCTCTGTGCAGTCCAGGCCTTCTTGCGTTTTGGCTGCTCTGGCACAGGTCCCTCCCAGTGCAGGAAGTCATTCTTTTTCTCATTTTTGGAAAGAAAAGCCCAGTATGTGTACAAGATCACACGTCTTTTTTAACTGCAGTAGTAGTATGAGGGGGCAAAGTTTGCATCGCAGCTTTCTCTGCTTTTAGCATTGTTCATTTCTGAGCCTTTTCCAAAAACAGCCACAATCTTTAGAACCAGACTTCAACCTTGCTTCCCTGGCATATGAGATTTCAAGTCAAGCTCCTCTGCTGTTACTTTAGAAGAACAAGTTCAGTTTCTTCATATCTTTGCTCTTAACAGGCCACCTGTAGGTCAAGTGTGCAGCATTTCACTTTGGAGGGGTAGTAGAGAACCTCTCGTAGCTTTTCAGCGACATCTCGTGGCATCATGGACCTGGAATCGCATCAGAGATTCCTCTTCTAAGGTGGAGAAGGTCTCATGTGGATTAAAAGTCAAATATTTTGTTAACAAGCACTTTTACTATATAAAAATATTTTCTTTTTCCCTTATGATCTATGGACAATCTACATTAAAAAAATCACAATAGTTTAATCTACTGTAAAACATTTTTTCTGGTGTCATTAATCTGAGGAGTTACATGTTAAAATAACAGGTAAAAGTATTTCAAACAGAATATGATTTTTTACATTGACAATTGCGTTTCATCCAAAATCTGAAAAAGTAAACATTTACATCACTAAATTCAATGTAAAACTCTCTGAACTGTCTTACTGAGTTTTAAAGCCATGAAAAATGGTAGAAAACTTAATTAAGAGAACAGAAGTTAACACTTTTTGAAATGAGCTGAGACCAAGTGAACAGCAAACTAATTGCCAGACCAAGATTGGTATTGCTGTCATACATCTTTTAGACAGTCTTATGGAGTTATATTTAAACTTTCCAAGTTCAGGTTGTAATTTTGCTGGTTTTTAACACTAGTGAGTATTCAGTGAGTTGTTCCTTATATGAAAAATACCCATAGATGATGCATAAGAAAAAAGTCAAAATCCTGGGAAAGACTCCCGCTGTGTCACCAGATCACAGGTGTGAAGGTCAGCACTTGGCTTAGGAGGGGATTACTTCAGGGACTGTCTGCGATAGGGGTGTGTTTTGCTGCACAGCACACCCCGCTTGGGCCTTACTGGGTTGTAACGATCAACCCTAAAATCATCCACCCCAGTTCCAGTATTTGGAGTTATGTACAGAGCCCAAAGCTGCCGTAACTGGAGTCAGCAGCAGTTTTCAGTGAAAGCAGAATCAGGCTCCGCTCCTTGTACAGGCAGACTTCCCTAGTTCAGAGAAGGAACACTACAGATACTCGCACTTCTTCTCAAGTTTTGACAGCAAAGTGAGATGAACATCTTAACCTCCTGTTGCACACATCTAAGCACATATTATCTAGTGCCCACATATACCAAAGATATAAAATAATTTATTTCAGGCCAAAGTAAAAGAGCAAGAGCCCACAGTCGGTGAGAATACTCCCTCTCCTGTGTTTAGCCACTCACCGTCTAAACAGCAACGTGCCTCTTGGGTTTTAAGTACTCGAGGCCACACAAACTAAGGGGAGAGAATCTAAAGTAACAAGATACAGTAGATCCACAATTTATCAAGTCTCAATTTACAGGGATTAATTTTATCAAAAATATTTGTGCGTCCTTTGGAGTAAAGAAGTGTTCTTGCAAAGAGGGTGGAAGACGGCACTGTGACGTACTGACTTCCAAAGCCTAGGTGGAAGAGCAGTGTGTGACCCAAGCCCTAAAGAAGGGACAAAGGTAATTCACACAGAAATCACAATAAAATGCTGGGGGTTTATCCCTAGCTAAAACCTCTGTTTTGTGGTTCTTGTTTGCTGTGAGGTAATGAATCATCAGTACCAGAGGTAAGGGTAAACCGTATTTTCGCAGAGAAAAGTGAGCTTTCAGGCTAACATTGATGACCTCTTCCAAAATGAAGAGCACCAGGTGTGCTGCTGAGTGACGGGCTTTCCATGGCTGGCCCAGGGGAGCTGAGGGAAGGGTGCTGCGGCGGAGGTTGCCAGGACCTGGGTGGCTTTGACCCCACTGCCTGCAGGAATGTGACTGTCCTAGTGACTGGTCTTCACAGCAGAGTCTGCTGATGCTTACTCCTAACTTCAGCTCAGCTGTGCAATCAGGCAAAGCAAACACAAACCCCGTTGATAAGATTGTCTCGGAATAACTAAAACTGCTGTTACACATGGTATTTTCGTGTCCAGGGTTTAATCTGTGTAGCTCATCTATGCCCAGTCTACCCTTCACAGGCACTTGGAAAGGCTTAGTTCTAGAATAGCAATGGAATTAATACAAATTGCTGAGTCTAGGGTACATTTCTCTATATTCTGCAGGTAATTCCGTACTCTCCCAATGAATTCTGTATTAATTTTCTGTACACATATTGTTCAACAGAAGCAGAAGTCAGCTATGTGTGGAAGCTGTAACTTTTCCCTGTAGTCTCTCAGCAGGAGACAGACGGGGCACTCTGAGTGTCTGACGGATTTAAGTGATCGCCCCGGACTTTAATGAAAAATTAAATCTACCTGTTAACTGTATTGGTATTCTTTTCAGTTAATTGCACTTGGAAGTAATTGCATTAACATGTAGGTGCATTTTTTAATGCCTTCCAGATAACCTCACTTCCTCACGACGCATTTGCGCCTTAGTTCATTCAGCCCTGGTGGCACAGTTTTTGGGCTGTAGCTGTCTTCTCTGCAACTAGAGGTTCCTGTGTTCTTAAAAGCATCCTGTGTCCTGGACTGGGCTCAACTTTTCTGAAAAGTGATCATTTGGAAGTCCACCTGAGATCCAGCTGTGTCACATGGGTTTTCCCTGCTTTCTGAAACAATCTGTTCCACTGCTTTGGAAGTTTCCGGGTCCTGAGAGCAGGGACTATCCAGTGTATCACCACTGCTATTGCAGTGGAGAGGGGAGGCTATGTCGGAGGGCTGATCGGAGGGTTTGCCTGGAGCAGGTGGCAGGGGCATGGATAGGGGAAGATTCATCATGTAGAACACATTGCCCAGACGTCGGGAAACCTGTAAAAAACGCACAAAAGCACAATTGCAGCAATTTCTTCTTGAGATAGTGTTAAAACCATCAAACATCAAGGCTGACTGTCGTGTAGCAACGCCAGGGACATCCAGGAGATGCCAACCATCTCAAAGGGTTATCAGTGGTCAGCAAAAGTGAAAACAATCTCTTCCATTTTCCCTCTCTCATCTTTTTCTAGATGAGAAATCAAACTTGTGATTTGCAAGTTCTTGGGGAAGGAGCTTGGCAACACTCAGCCTGGGAAATGGCCCAGTGTGCTTGGCCTGACAGCAGGCTCCTCTTACTCCATAGGTGCTGTAGCACCCATGGGACAGAGGGGAGGCAAACTGCCAGCCAGGAGCAGGAAGGTGGTTTTAATGAGTGGAGTGAGAGAGAACAAGGGGTTAAAGAAAAGGAAAAGAACCAGACAACAACACAAACACATGGAGAGTTGATACTACTGGATGAAATTAAGAGCAGAAAACTTTAAACATAGAGGGACAGCCTGTCGGTGAAACAGGTACAATTATATTCCCAGAAAGGCTGTAGAAACCTCTACTTGCTATGTCTGAAAAGCCAGGTTGGAACAAAAGCAAGTATGTACCAGTCCTTACCAGCTGGGAAGGGAAAAGAGGAGTGAAACAGTTAATTTGTCAAACATGTCTTTTCCATTTCCAACCTCAGCCGAGTCTCCAGTGTTGTTGTATCCTGACTCCACTGTGTCTCTCAAACTGTCAGTCCTAACCTCCTCTTGCTGTCTTCCTGCATGCTTTTGTAACACGCAGAGAAGCAAAAGCAGACTATGCTGGAGTAACTCTTTTCTCCAAGTATTATGGTAGTTACCTTATCAGTGAGAAAAAATGTGTTTAGTTAGAAAAATTGGCATCCTGTTGGTTTCTGACTCTCGTGACTTGCCATAGAATCACTGAACGGTTTTGGTTGGAAGGGACCTTAAAGACCATCTAGCTCCAAACCCACTGCCATGGGCAGGGACACCTTCCACTAGAAGGCATACATTTAATTCCATCTTGGCATACCTTTAATGATCATACCTGAGAGCGGATTTTCAATGCTGGTCCGAGTTTTAATCCCATTGTATCCAGGAGGTGTTCCTCTGTTAGCAGCGGGAGGGTTTCTCCATCAATAGCATGGTCCTTAAAGATCTTAGGAAATGGAAAAAACACATCAGGGTGTGCTAAAACAGACCTCACAGGTTATTTTTTTATGCTTAATCCAGAGACATAGACAATAAAAGGAGGAAATAATGATTTTACTCGTTTATCATCTTCTTTATCTCCTAACTGCAGCATAAGGTTGCTTGTTCAGCTGTGGTGGATGGCAGCAGATTTGCCTGGAGTTAATCCACTCGTTCTTGGCAAGTGGGAACTTTCTAATGTTGCAGCATTATTTGTTTGGGGTTTTTTTAAGCCTGCTACCAATGAAAGAATTGTGTTGATCTTATTAAGGCTTTACTGGGAATATACAGGATTTCAACCTCTTTGTTTTCATTGCTAATGATACTTCATTTTTCAAATGGAATGATGCCTGTAAGAGCACAGGGGCAGTAGGTGGGTTATACCAATATCCAAGAATGCAAAATTGCTTTAATCCCCATAAAAATTGTGCAGGGCAATTGGAGTGAAAAAAATTAACATACTTTTCTTATATTATTGTTTGGTGCTGGTCCCCCTGGTATGTGCCATGGTGAATGACACCAGATCGCAGCGCATGCAGCCTCTCAGAGCAGGGACTGGCTTTCCCTCTGAGAAGCAAGAGGCTTCATATGTTCAAGCACAATGAAAACTACTATGTTTGTAACTCTGTGACAACCAGTTAACCTCTAACATTTACACATGTGATGACTTTTAAATCTAAATGGTCCTAGAGACCTGAAAATGGGATGAATGTTTATAATCACCTGGGCATAATCTGAACAGCCCGGGAGGCTAACGATGAAGTTGTATACATCATCGACAGTCCACTTGCGAATGTCTTCAATGGAAGAAATGTCTTCTCCATTCAGGATCAGGCCATGTGCTCCTTTGAGGAGGAAACACAAATGTTATGTTTGTAGAACTATGCTGGCAAATCAATAGGAAATGGTTGTTAACATGAGAATATTTACACTTCTCCAGAACCTAATATATACACGGCAGTGTGTACTCACAGGCAGATACAGGAGTCCCAGACCCCAAAAACACCAGTCAGCAGTAGCTGATTCTGGAGGGTTTTCTTTTGGTGACTTCTTTAGTTTCCTGCTGGCACTGTAAGTACCAGTCACTACACATAAAAATCATACTGCAGTGTTTTCTCTGATGAGTACATTATGCAATGCTTTAGATTCTTTAGACTTTACTGTTGTTTTAAGTTGACTAATAGTTCGGTAGAGCAGAAGCAAGCCTTTGCTAGCCCATAGTGCCTCCCGTGAGTTAGCAGGACATACAGAAAAGTTATGGGCAGAAGCGTGTGCTGGTTCCAGACCATAGGCATTTGTTTCATTCCATAATGCATCAAGCCGAGGGGGCAGTGTCACTAGTCGCGCTGGCAGCCGGCGAGGTGGGGGGAAGTTTGCGAGGTGCGCAGTTTTTGCGAGGAGTGAAAGTGGGCCACGAGAGGCACAACCCGGAAGGTGTGTGGGGGTTGGCTAGGAGATTCCTGCCGGCAGGGTGGGCTCAGGAAGAGTGATTAGCAGAGAAGGAGCGTCTTTTGTCAGAGAATTGATCTAGAGGAGTGGTGGAAGTCTCTTTCTCCCTGCTCTTGTCTCCTGGGCTGAGGGAGGGGGGTTTTCTCTCTATTCAGATTTCTTTGCCTTGCTGTTTTTGGAACCTGGCTGTGTCAGTCCATGGGTGCTGAGATCCTGTATCATATGTTCTATTTTTCTGGGTTTTTTTAATTACTTATTAGCAGTAGTATTGTTAGTAAATCCATAAGTTTCATTTATATTATTAAACAATTCTTATCCCAACTTCTATGATCTTCCCTTGTTTTTCCTCCAACTCTTCCTCACTGGGAAGGGGGGCCAGGAGGTGGAGTGGTAGAGCGACTGGTGGTGCTTAAATGCCAGATAGGGCTAAACCATAACAAAGAGAGAGACTAGCTCACAGTTTCACTCAGCAATTTTGTTTATTTTAACTGAAATTCCTTTTGCAGACAGGAACTGAATACTTCATGTGCATGCTAGGGACACGGTTTAGTGGTGGACTTGGCAGTGTTAGGTTTACAGTTGGACTCAGTGATCTTAAAGGCCTTTTCCAACCTAACGGATTCTATGATTCTATGACTGTGATTATGTATTTTTCAGTGATACAGTGTGTCTTTGGTAGATGATCCTGGACAGACACCCCAGCCAGTTCTTATTTCAGGTAGTAGGAAGCTTTGGAGCGCTCATCCACTGGCACTGCTGCATTTAACAAGGGCTGCAAAGCTTTAGAAACATCGATTCTTGCACAGTGGCTGGAGAGGCCTGTATCTTATGCTCTGTTCTTGGGGAGGTCAAGTCTCGGGGATAGGTTTGTTCCTAAATGAGTGCAGCTTCTAAGGGCATTCCCTGTTCTGTTCAACAAGGGTGTTGTCCCCAGGGACTGATACAAACACAGGATGACAGTGTTCAAGGCCAGGCTGGATGGGGCTTGGAGCAACCTGCTCTAGCGGAAGGTGTCCCTGCCCATGGGTGGAACTAGATGATCTTTAAGCTCCTTTCCAACCCAAACCATTCTGTGATTCAATGAATCTGTGACATCCTGCAGTGGTCTAGCACATGGCACAGAGAACCGAAACAGTCAGTAGGCTGTTCTGTGTCTTTTTGCTGTGCAATAGCATTGTCCTGCAAAGTAAAGCACCGCTACCTAAGATGCTGATACCTCCATTATGCCAGCAAGCAGTACAGTCTGCAGGTAGCAAAACCCACCCTTCGCCTTTGCTGACATGGATTTCCCAAGGAATTACTATTTGCAGCATATGAATTCCATGTTTAGTTGCCATGACTCTATCATACCAAGAATTTGCTTCAAATGGGAAGAAATAAAAGGGCAAATCAATACAAATAAATAATATCAACATGCCACTCTAACTGTAATCTGGAGACTTGACAAACCTGAAGGCAACAATGGGTTGCTGGGTACTGGGAATCCATATGGTAATGCTGAGAATGGGATTGCAGAAGGGTACATGTACTTGTCATCAAAAGCAGTGCAGGAGCTATTAGATTCCTTCTCATTTGTGTTGCTGCAGCTGTTGGTTTCATTAGAAATTTCATGAGTAGCACAGTTTTTTCTCAAGCCTTGTTCAAACTCTTTACAGTTTTTGGCAACTGCAGATGGCTCGGCCTGGTTTTTGCTTTGTTCATGTTTGTTTGGTGTCTCCACCTCTGCTTCTTTCTTGTCTTCTTTCTCATCATCCGCTGCAGCTGAAGCAGAGTCCGTAGCTTTGTCGTCAGCTTGGTTCTTTGTGCCATTTGCACTACAGTCTGCAGTTTTGTGATTTCCAGCTCTTCTCCCTGGTCGACGTCCCCTCTCCCGTTGCAAAGTGCTGACTGGAGGGTACGGGCTAGTTGCCATGAGCATAGTGTTGCCATGAATTTCATCAAGGGTGGTACGATGGACATACAAGTCGCTGGGTGGATGGCCTTCGGGTAGTCTGTGCCTGCCACGGAAAGCAATGGGACTAGCTGGCATCCCATGGTAAAGGAAAGGTGCTTCCAGGCCCAATAGCCCTTTCCGATGAGCTTTCTCCATTTCTTTTTGTTGAAAAATAGTGCTCATCTCCATTTCCATCCTAAGAGACACACAGAGCACGAGCAGTTAGAGACACTGTTCCTTCATCACCTCTTTTTTTTTTTTTTTTCAGAAGCAGATTAAAACTTGGATAAAAATCAGGAAAAAATTCTTCCCGGAGAGGGTGGGGAGGCACTGGGACAGGTTGCCCAGAGAAGCTGTGGATGCCCCATCCCTGGAAGTGTCCAAGGCCAGGCTGGATGAGGCTTGGAGCAACCTGGTCTAGTGGAAGGTGTCCCTGCCCATGGCAGGGGGGTTGGAACTAGATGGGCTTTAAGGTCCCTTCCAACCCAAACCAATTTATGATTCTGTGACAACTGAATAGGCGAGAGTACTGCTTTTCTTCTCGCTCCCCTGTACGGCTGTGTGTGAAGGGTCACAAACTGCAGGTGAAACAGCAAACCTGGCTATATTTAATGTGCTGCCAGATACATATAGTAAACTTGAAGGAAGAGAAAATATATCTTCCATGTGTTGTCTCTGGAGAATATTTCAGACAAAACAAGTGTTATTTGGATATTGGCGATCCAGGCATTATTACAGTGATTCTGCTCACTTGGAATTTAGAAAATTGTCTTCAGGGTCATAAGGACCAAAGACTAAAGCAAATAAGTGATTTACATGACCAATCAGAAAGTTATTCTGAAAACTGGAAAAGGGCAGTGATATTGCAAGTGATAAAGAACTAGAGAGACTTAGGAGACTTCTCATTAATGTAACATTGTCAGGAAAACTGTTTGGGCAAGAGGTATCTCTATGCAATGATTGTTGGGTGGAAGAATTATTTGATCATAACATTCAGGCTTTTTCTCTGCCCTCTTTCATCTTTGCAACAACATCCAAATGATTGATTTCCTGCTTTCAGAGATACAGTGGAAGTGTTTTGTCTGTGTACCACGTCCTTGTCCATCTTGCCCTATTGTCACTGCTCACACACAGCTCTTCAAGTGGAGATAAACAGCAAAGAGCATGACATTCCTGACTGCTCCTCCAGGCAAGATACTCTGCTCCTCTGAGGACCAGTAGGCAGGGGATCTCTGAGCGTTGGTGTGAGGCAGAGTCCCTTGGAGAACAAGGATTCGGGCCCAGGTGCTCAGCAAACCAGCTGCAGCAAGTGCAGGAGTTTGCCAACACCTGATTTCTGTAAAGGGTGAAAGGATCTAGCACAGCTCTAAAGGTGATGTGTGCTGCAGAAAGCAGGGAGAAGCTTGCCAGTATGGTGATTTCCCAGGTGGTTTCGTGGGCTGAGGGAAGAGCCTGAGCAGGTAGCACTAACTCTGAAGTGGCCGGGGGATATATGTGATGGTCATGCTTGCTGCTAGCTATTTTACTTGCCTTTCTCAGGGTTTTTGCTGTGTGGTAAGAGCTATACAAAGTGCAGTGTCAATGGGAATCTTGTGCTTGGAGGAGTTCAGTAATCTAGCTTTGCTGACTGAAGAGCTGAAAATGCTTTTATTATAATTCTCCTGAGATGCCTGCTCAGAACTTGTTTGTTCTTTGCTCTTAACTTAGTGTGTGAGGGGTGCTGCACCTTATCCCTGTGCCCAGTGCAGGAGTGATTAAGGTTAGTTCTCTATGGAAATGGTGTGGCTGTGAGGGAGGGTGCTGGTGGTTACGTAGTTTCTACTACTTCTGTCTAGCTACTGCTTACACTGAAACTCGTACTAATAAATGGGCTCTCTGTAGTCACCTTGGCACTCAGACTGTTTAGTTAAACTAGGAAAACTGTCCACCCTGGCTGGGTGGAGACATAGCTCATCATCCCAAGGGCCTAGCTGTAGGGCTGGAAATGTTTTGTGTGAATTTGTTTCTGACTTTCTGTAACTGCAGGGTGTTTGGATCTAGTGTTCAAGGGCTGGGGCTGAAGTTTGTGGCTTATTTCTCTCTAACCAAGCTGAGGGGTTTGTTTCTTTCTCTTCTATAATTTTTAAGGCTAAAAGCAGAATGTGGGCAAGCAGAAAGTTGAATAGCTTTGGTTCTTAAGAGATAGCCAAGGGCCTTCTGCTTCTCTGGGTGACTTGAAAAAGTATCTCACAGTCAATAAAATCCCACAAAAAGTCTGTGACTTAATCAATTCTAGCTGCCTTTGCTACCCCAATCCTGGCATGCACCTCAGAGCAAAGCCTACTACTGATTACCTGGCAATGTTTTGCTTTTGAACCAGTTCCTGTCTTCTGGCCACAGCTTCCATGGATTCTGGTTGCAGAAAGCTGTATCCTTAAAGGGAAGGGAGGGAAAAATATCTTTAAAATTCACTCGCTTCCTTAAGCAAATGCACAAACCCCAAAGCAATGCAGAGACCCTTCAAAAAGCTTTTTAAGACTTGAATTATGTGATTCACCAGACTTCAAGTTAAATCCTATTTGTGTTCGCTGCTTTGATGGGAATATGTAATAGAAACATTAAGTCCAGCATTAGGTATTTGCAGGATCAAATCTGTAGCTAGGTGTACCTGCTGTTGTCCATAAAGGAAAGAGACAGCAGGGTGGTTTTATTTGGCGAGTTTGAAGTACTCGTAGCTGCTCAGAAAAGAGCAACCATCAGTTAAGCAAAGCAGACCTGCTCCTTCAAGACTGTTTTCAACCTAGCTGCCATGTAATTTTAAATTACACTTCCTCTTGAGGGGGGTATCTTATTTGAGGTCCACATTATGGGGAAGGGGAAAGGCTGAAGCCAGGAATTCTTGTGGCATCGAGAATTTATTCCCTCATCTCAAAGAAGAAACCTTAAGATATGCTCCCTTTATATAAAGTGATATATAAACTTATGTGCAGCATGACACGTGTGCACAGTTGTGCTGCCGTGCTGATATTTAGCCTTCCCTTTAGAGCTGTGCCCTGTAATTTTGAGCCCTTACTAAAAGGACTTGTCGTTGCCCTGCATGAGTCGAGTGGATATTACGATTGAAGAAATGTGATCAATAAAGTAGTCTTCTGAAATAGCAAATGCTCATATGAGCAAGAGTTAAATGTAGCAAAAGTGTTGTTGATTGGACTCAGTTGTTTAGCTACAGCCTTCTGTTTAGTTGGGAAAATGCTTGGAAAATACAAAAATAAAAGGGGAGAACAAAACCATGCAAATGATTTTGAAAACAGTGGATTTAACAAAAGCTAAAATGGGTGTGTTTAGACTTAAACTGGCACCATTTAGGCTCTCGGGCGTGTGTACTTCCTCCTTTTAGTGAATGTGTTTTTCCAGAGAAAATCAGCTGTTGTTGACACTACCAATAAACGTATGAAAAACTAGTAGAGGTGCAGTTTGCCTTCTCGTTTACATGCTATCGCTTCTCAGGATGAAGACAATGGGTACGTTATGGGTGCATTACCTGGGCCTGGGTAAACACGGCTGGACAAGATGTTTGGCATGTTTGCGTGCTGTGGGACCGTGGGTGCCAGGTGGGATGCTATATGGATTTGTCTTGGGTCAGCTGAAGCCATCATTTCAGCTGAAGGTAACAGATCTCTGAGAGGAAAAAACATACATTCAGATATACAAAGGATACTTAAGTTTAAAATAATCCAAGATCCTTATAATAGAGAAATGGCACAAAATACCTGTCTACCAATCGAGGCTCAAACTGGGAGGGAATCGCCTGCATCCTCTGCTGGCCTGCGCTCATCAGCTGAGGGTTTACTGCCATCAACTGATTTCTCATTAGCATCTCTTGCCGCTGCCGCAGTTCTGACACAAAGCACATACAGTTCTGTTGTCAATGGAGTAAATTAGAAAGTGATTCTCTCAGCAGTGTAACTTTGCCATAAAAAATAGGGGATTTTGCTCAAGTGCCAGCATTTTATTATGAGCTAGCAAATCACATCTCTATTAATAGCCACTAAACAAAGATGTTTCCACTGCCACCTTAACCGCTTTGTTTAAAGAATGTAGATTTATGCAATCAACCTGCAGTAGAAATAAACAGGATGTGCAGAGTCAGGTGTACAAAAGGACAATTTACAACTAACAATCATTCCTATAACACTATGAAACAGAAGAGAATAGCCATGAATGTTAAGTTCTCTGCTTCAGAGAGTGTTTATTTCTAATACAGTTTTATTTTTAGAAAAATCTTATTAGCTGGAACCTGCCTTGTCATGAGAAAGAAGAGCCAGAACATTGTAACTTTTAGCTGTGACTGAGTTCCTGAGTGACTTTGGCTCTTCTTACAGACACTTAGCATCTCTTCATCAACTTCTGAATGCCAAGAATCCCCCATGTTAATTCTTAATTACCTTGAGAGATGTTTCTCCATTTACTCCTAAGATAAATTTGAAATACCTTTCAAAGAGTTTAAACCTGTTTCTGGCTGTTTTTTGCATTTTGTATAGATACTGGCAATCCTATAAACAAATATGCTGTTAGTTTTCTTCCTGCTTACCTCCTGCTGCCATACCACTTGCTAATCGGTACAAGTGCTTCTCTTCTAGTGCTCCTTGTTCCCCCAGGATAGACATTTTTCTCATGTGATCTCGTGGAGTCATGCTGCAAGCTGACAGCAACAGCTTTTCTGTTGTAAAGGACTGAATCAGCAGGCCCAAGAAAAGAATAAGACATGCAGCAGCATAAGAAACGGAGCAGGTTATGCAAATTATTTCTCAGATAAGCAGGTAGTCCTTCTGCCAGTCACAGCTGTGCCCTTCAGTGCTTGTGGATTGTATTGGTTACTGTACAGAAACTTTCAGTTTTCAGGATAATGCAAATGTTGCCCTTTTTTATACCAAGTTGTTCAGTGTCCTTGGGCCATACTATGCAAGAAAAGTCAGGATTTTGGGAAATATCAGCTGCTCAGAAAGAAGTAATTAAGACAAAGTTTTTGCCTGCAATCCCTGCTGTATCACAGCAGCCCTGAGAACAGTGACGTGTGCTCACACTCAGGTACCTTTGGTCTTGTTTGGGAATTGTAATAGTTTGGATCCCGGTCGACTGTAAACTAAATGAAACAGATGGAAAGGAATGATGGAAATAAGCTGTTCCAAATGACATCAGCCCTTTAAGATGAAGTAAAACCCATAAAAGAATGTGCTCCGGAGTGATGAAAACAGCGATAAAACCAGCAAGGCTCAGATTAATTATCCATATATGTCCATGTAAATAGAGCCAGATGAAGAGCAGATATCTAGGCAAAAAATTAATAGACTACAAATGCATAGCTGTGCTGTCACTGAGGTGAGCACTTCTGCCTGTCCAAAGAGGAAGGGGGCTAGATGACAAATGATGCTGATACCAGGGGAGTGAATAACCACTGTATGCCCTGTTCAGGATTTTGGGGGAATGATCTACAGCAGAATTTCTTCTATGGCCTATCTGCAAAAATAAGTCCTGTAACCTGCAACCCGGATGTTAAAAAGCTCTCTCCTGTGTGGAATGCTTTAAATTGAGGGGTTGGCAGGCCTCGCTGTAAAGGCAGCAAGGGCATGTGTACATTCATTTCAAACTAGATTTGCACAGAAAAAGATTGATTTTTCTTTTTTAATTTTTATTAGAATAAGTTGTACTTTTTTCCCCAGTAGCTCAGATAAAATAAATTCTTTCCCTCTTCTGAAAGATGGAAGATGTAATGCTTAAGTGTTCTCATCCTGTAGATAGAGTTACAGCTCCATGGGTTCAGCTGGCATTTGGTGAAGGTAGTAGAGAAGGGCACATTAGAAATGCAAAGAGAAAAGCTCAGAGACTCTACCAACGCCAAGGAGAGCTCAAGTGTATCATGCCTTTTTGAACCTTTCCATGAAAGCCAGCAAACAGGAATCCTTGAGAAACAAGGACTGACAGTGCTGCTAAGACCAGCAGGTTCCTCTCTTCTGGGTCTACCTTGGAATGTGAATCCCATGGCAGGGAAGCCATCACTGACAGATTCCCTGACAGCAGCTACTTTCCATTTCAGCTGAGTGCTGACAACTGCTGAATTCATGTTAATAATCACTCCGCAAAGATGTCATCTCTGAAGTGCAAATGGCCAAAACCATCCAAAGCTTTGGGTGGTTTGACTTTTTATGGCTTACTTGCCAATTTGCCTTCAGTATGTTGTGATGCTATGACATTAAAATGTCAGCCTTCCCTGAACTCAACCTACCTGCTCAGGTCTCTCCTGTGTTTTCACATTTATGTCAGACTTGTTTCAGCCTGCAAAGTAAGCATTGATTTTTATACTGTGTTTCCCCGCCTTACAAATTCAGTGCCTGTGATTAACGGCGTTGGCACCAAAATGTCCAGCTGTGGGACCAGTTGTGCATATGTGATGACTGCAGAGGCAGAGGTGTTGTACAAGTACCGGTGAGATCCAACACAGCTTGAGGTGTTAGCATTGTTGCCAGTACAAGATGGATCCAATGGCAAGTGGTTTGTTTACCTTTAATCCTGCTACCTAGGATACAAAAATTCCTTGGAAATAGTAAGCAGGAAAAGTTTTTAAAACTTTTCGTGGTCCAAAATCTGATGAAAGCCAAATCCTGTATTTTGTTACCCAAGCCATTTATAAATTAATCATTATAACTCCTTTTACTGCCTTTAACCTACTGATGAGTTACAAAAAAATGGAAGGGGAAGCTATCTATGTAATTCACATGCTTCAGGCTTCATGAACAGGCTGCCCAGGGAGGTGGTGGAGTCACCATCCCTGGATGTGTTTAAGAGACGGGTGGATGAGGTGCTGAGAGATATGGTTTAGTGGCGGACAGATACGGTTGGACTGGATGATCTCTAAGGTCTTTTCCAACCTAGTGATTCTATGATTCAGGAATTTAACATTTCCTTGGTATGGTGAAGATACTTGGTCTCAGCCTGAGTTTTCGAGAAGTGGACAAGTTAGTCATTTCAGCCATTCACATTGAGAGCAGAGGCTCTGCTTGGACCACACCACTGGTGTTCCCTCAAAATAAAAGTTCTTTACATTCGTAAAGGCTAGATTTTGTGTTGGGCGTAATTCAAGTCTTCCTGGAGGCAGACAAACCTGTCAAATCCAAGAACAGCACCATGTCTTGTTCTTGACATATGTATGTGCTGCTGGCCATGTTGTTTTTTTTTTTTTGGATACTTTAGACTTAAAGCGGTTTAGGATGCTGGGTGCTTCCATGAAGAGCATTTGAGCTGCCAAAGTGCTTCTGAGCTGCTAAAGCATTTTAAAGCTCAGTACTAAAGCGATTTAGTGCTGAACTAAACTTTACAGCAGCTCAAAAAATAGATGGCAACTGGGATGATAGTATTTGCCATACCATATTGGTCCAGTGAGCCATTTAGGTGGTTTCCTTTCACAGATGAGTGACCATGTATTAAATACTCTGGAAAACAAAGCTGCAATTTTAAACTTCATGCTAACCTTCTTACAGCCTGGCCTTTGCCTGGTGCACCTGACTAGAGAATGTGAAGGTGCAAAGCAACCAGCAAAGGTCCAGACAGATGTAATGGGAAAAAATGGGAGGTTTTAACCTTTTTATTCTAGTAAATCAGGAAAAAAACCCTCACTAAAAGCAGTATTAATGCTAACAAAGCTTTGTCTGTCGGATGACTGACAAGCTGTACCACTTCTGCTTTTTAAGAACTGCTGGAATGCTTCAATCCTCTGTTTTAATCACAGTTGTGAATGCATTTCATTCTGGGGAAGCTGTCCCTTTGTGGGGAAAAGACCTTTTATCAGGCTTACCTAGAGCTTCTACTCCCCCCCTAAAATCACACCTGTGACTAACATTATTTGGTACAACTTCAAAGTGTAGATGCATGGAAAAGGTAGTGGGGAAAATACCCAATCCACCACCCGCACAGGGCATCCCATATACCCTGCCTGTTCTGACAGACCAACCAAGCGGTGGTAACTGTGGTTAGAAACCAGTAGCAGCAGTATCGCCGTGGTGTTCTCTGTGTAGTCTGTGCTGTTCCCAAAGCAAGTCTGGATTTTGTGTGGATGTGCTGCTGTGCTGTCTTTTGACAGGTAGTCTCTCACATAGCCTCCTTTCAGACCTGGAGCAGAACCTATTGAAGAACTTCCTTAAAATCTGTCTTTTAAAAAGTAAGGTTTTCTTTTAGATATTGGCATTTTCCCTGAAAGCAGGGTATCCTATCCCACAACATCCTTAGTGGAGTTGGTCCGTGTTTATTGATAGTTAATGACCCACTAGATGACCGGTATTCGCAGAGCATCACTTCAGGCAATGTTCATCACGTAAGCAACTTACCCTTGCAGAGGTAGACTAGGCGGTCTGTTGATGTGACATGGAAAAGATGTAGTATTGCAAAAAGTCATGGAATAACGTGTCTTGAAAGTTCATTGGTATCTTCTTCACTTAAAGCTGTAGCTTACTGCTTCCACTGACCCAGTTTTTGACTCATCGTGAGCCAAAAGGAGGGTTTGATTCCTTAATGAGGTTTTCACTGGAGTTGCTCCATGAAGTCCTTCTGTATTTTTATGTTGGTGTGCCAGTCAATCCTATCTAACTTAGCTTGGATTTCTTCTCAGATGTATAAAAATAACTCTATTTGTGTTAAAAAAAATCAGATCTTATTTTCACCAAAATTCTAATCCGTTTTCCCTAGCTGAATGTTAGATTGTCAGCGTGGTGTAAATTTTACTTAAAGGACACACTTTGTATGTAGATGTTATCTGCATTAAATCACTTGTTTATTTCCCTGAATTTCCTGTTCAGGGAAGTATTGAAGTGATCAGGTGGGATAAAGAGTTACCTTAATAACCTACTACAATGACTTGTATGTAGCCCTGTGTCAGGAGGAGATACTGGATCTGACCAGTCTATGTTATTCCACCTGGAAAAACACCATTTTTTTGGTTACTTAGCTGAGGTTCTGACTTGCAGGTCAAATTTAGGGTACTTAAGGTTCACACTATTTTCATAACAACTAGCATATTAGAAACCAGCATCAGCAAAAGAAGATCTGAGGGAAGAGGGAAAGTATACTGCTGATACATATATTAGCTGGGATTTGATTTGAGAGTGGCTCAGAATCTTGCATCAGGGTTCATATAAATTCATACACGCCAGCTGTCGGGTGTGACATTCATATATGGCTCTTCTCTGATCCTATTGCACAAATCCTGGCTGTACAGCACATTACAGGGATGAAGACAAGTTAATCTCTACCTTTAGAGTCTTACCCTTAGCAAACCCTTCTTGGCAGCAGGCAGAACCACTCACCCAGTACTAATTCTGTCTCAATTTATTAGATGAGAAGTGGCAAGACACGAACTTCGTGAACCAGAAACATTTGGAAATCTAATCACGCTGTGTGCAGTTTCAAAATGTCTATAGTTGACTGTCTATCTATATTACTAATCGCACTGGCGAAATACAGCATTGTCTTAAGCATATATAGACTTGTTGGAAGACTTTATTTTTAGTTAAGTGCATTCAGAATTTATTAACTAATACTGCTGTTACGTACATCAAACACACGGAATTAGCATTTTTTAAAAACCGTGTTCAGTATATCTTTGCAGTGGATCCACAGAGTGTTTGGAAGAAGCTGAGTATTGTTT